TGTGAAAATTATCATATCTCTGAATTTGGGCTTGTACTTTTCACTGGTTTGTGTTTGGATGCCGTTTGTTCCTGTCTGGGGAGCACAGACTCCAAAAGAGTATTTTGTTTTCCACGTGCAATGAAGCAATGGAAGTATTTGTCACTGTGCCTTCGAAAAATCATAGTTACATTTGTATGGGTTAGTAGGTAATATACACTCATTAGGGATGTTAGCAAATCAAACCAAGAAATGCTTCTAAACACCTTACATGTATCCTCTCTATTTGTGTGTGGGTGTATATTGTGTGCAGGAAAACTGGGCAAACAAATCATTATGATATTATTACAATTGTAAATAATCATTCACAGCTGCAATGTCAAATAAGCAACCAAGGAATTGTACTGTGGTACAGTACCATCTAGTGGCCCAATGGAACAGGGCTTGATTGGAGACTGGTACTGCAAGTGTTCAGTATTAACTGCCAAACGCTGCATTGTTGATGCTTCATCATCATATTATTATCATCATCATCATTATCATCATCACCGTCAACATCATCATCATTATCATTGTACAGAAAGCATCCTTCTAATTTTAATAGATAGGTAACTTACTGGGCAACCTTGAAAATCTAGATAGACACCTTAGTGGCCTGGCTTGTGCATCCAGCTACTCAGACACAGCTTTTTGAACCCTGTGATTGTGATACTCAAAAAATGTATTTTGAGTTTTAAACCCAACATTCTCTTTTTGAGATTTTTTTTGGTCAATTACTATTTCACTGAGTATTTATTGCAAATAAAAGTAAGTTCTATCTCCAGAGCAAAAAGTCTAAGAGAGTTCTAAGCCATTACTTTACAAATGGTATGGGAAACAAGAAAAGGCAAATTTACTACATTCATTCAACAAGCTTGATGCTGTAACACCCTCTCATTCATCCAATACTACTGTGAGTTCACTTTGTGTAACTCAGTATTTTTAATTGTTAGAAAACCAATTGTTGTAGTTACTTAGCCAGACCATAAGCTTTGCAGCCTAAGACACGGCAGAGATAATCCAATGGTTATACGATGAAATAGTAAGAAGTTAAATAGAAACTTACATTTATAAGCATGAGATTGCTATCTTACAGAAACAATACAAGTACTTATTTTGTGACTCCTAGACTATACTGCCTTCCCTAATAATGGGGTCTTGTCCCCAGCAGTGCTGAGGTAAAGGCATGAATTTAATTTTTTTGATTGTAGTCCCTGTGCTCTTACAAAGTCTCTGAAGGAACACAAAACACATGCAAAAAATTACATAAACATTCTACTATCTAAATTACTAATGATGTTTAGAAGCGTTAGATGCCAATATACAGCTCTTCAAATAAAGGATAAAAATCTGGCTGTGGCTTAGCTCTGCACTTCTTTCTGAATAAATCCTGTTTACATGATTTGTACACATTATTTTTTATTATCTAAAGCAAAGCAGAGACTGTGTTCTTTACCATAGAACTTACAATTAGTGAAGTTTTGCCACACTTAAACTTTTTTCCCTGTCCAAAGTGTTGAATTTCAAATGTTAAAAACTGATTTATTTAAGAGCTGTAAAATACAATTCCAATAGATTCAGAAAGGTTCTACAATGGAACTGAACTATTCCAAAATTTAAACATAAGTGGGAAATCCATCAATCAGACTTCAAATACAAATTAGTTACATGTACTCTACAGTGTGTACCGCACAATCATAAACCATTTAGATGAAAATGGAAAAGCTTCATGCAAAAATCTCTTGTTGCTCACAGTGTGAAAGTAGATAGCTTGTTTTAAAACAACTGCAAAAATAGCATCTGATTGTCACAGTTTGGATGTTACTTATTCTGATAATTTATTTGACAGCCATTGTGACACAGTCTTTTCTTGGGCAAGTAACATATATGTACTATTTTAGTTCTCAATCAATAAGAGAAATAAACTGTTGCTGGAGGAGAAAACAGAAAGAAAGTCTGAGGAAAATAAATATTTCCTCTTATGACATCTGCATGATTTTCATAGGGCCAGCACCAAATGTCCAGGGATGCTTGAGAGATAAAGTAGCAAAGAAAAACCCAACCAAAACAAACCCATCAAAAAAAAATCCAAATGAACAAAAACTGCCAAAATCAAAAAGAAACCCCCCAAAACCAAAATAAGGCTGTTGAAAGCAGTACTTATTTGAGGTCTTATTCAGGCAATTACTGACCCAACCTATAATTCCATTCACTTGTCTTAATACAAATGCCCTCTTTTGAAGAGGGTATTCTGAGAAAGAAGGTACAGAGAGGACAATAAACAGAAGCATGGACAATGTTTTCTGGTCCAAAACCAGACCATATCCTTAGCATTGACTTACTGAAGTCATACAACATGGTACTTCTGTCTGGTATTTTTCTGAGTTCATTTGTCAATAAGCTGCTTGCCTGGGAAGTCCTAGGTCAAATCACAATATGCAAACCTCAGATTTACTCTATTACATTTGTGTTAAAGACCATATTTTTATTGTAGTAATCAGAAACGCTGGAGCTGTCTCAAGAGGGGATATTGGGAAAGTAGAGTGGGGTATCCTTATTAGGGCTTTCACCTTTAAATGAAAAATTGAGTGTGAATCCACACACCTTTTGCCTCTTTAGTTTTATTTTCTCTTTGTCCGAGGTACTGACTGAACATAGCAATGGCTATAGTTGGCTGATTCTTAACTAACAGGGTCATCTTAGTGTTTAGAACTGAGGGGATTTTGCTCTTCCCAGACCATCTATTCTGCAATGGTAAGACTTTGATAACTTGCCTACACATAAATATAAAAACATAGCTTTACAATTGCTATGTAATTGTGGAACTTCTATTATTATATGTAGTATCAAAGTACTCTAACTTACTGTGATGCTCCCACTAACATCATCTGGAATTTTGCCACTTACTTCAGACACGGGAAGTTCTTGTCCTTAAAGTGTCTGTGTGTCTGACATTTTTCTATCATTGAGAAAAAAATACAAAGGATTGAGAATATTTACAAATATTTAGGAAAGGGCAGTAAAGCCATCTTCCACTTTCTCCTTATACTCATCTCTTCTCATCTAGCTACTGCTATGTATTTCTAGTTACCTTTATGCTCCCTACAGTCCTGCATGGTTGTATTTATGTTTGGTACTTTCTGTCTCTGACAAGTTGCCTTGTTCATAGAGGCCCTGCAACTGTGGTTTGTAAAGTGTGTGTCTGCAGGATACACTTCGGTGGCACATCTGCTTTGCTGCCAGCTTTATTGTTTTCTTCCAAAGTGGAGTTGTCTTTTTCACGAATTGTTCCAAGCACTCAAGACTCTCATGTCCACAAAGACCATGTTGCCTCTAGTGTTTGACACAGGTGTGGCACTTAAGAAAAAACTAACATAGGTCAGTTAGGCATTACATTTTTTTCTTGAGTGTCAGCATACAATAGAAGGCTGCTGGTGCTTTTTTAACCTGGTGTCAAGATATATTTTTTCTTCCGGGACACTGGTGTTGAAGTAAATCGTGTGCTATTGCACACCAGTTTGTCTTTTCATTGAGTTTTCTCTTTCCAATACAGGTGACTATTCCCTTCTTGCTGCATGAGTTCTGGAGCTACACTAACTTCTACACTTCACACTGATACACCCCAGAGAGAGTATAGCTTCAGCATCTTTTTTTTTTCTTCTTCTGGGTTGTATGCAGAACTGATGTTCCATATGCTTTTTGTCAGGTGGAATGTATGTAACCATCTTATAGTGAGACTACTTGGCCCTGCAAATACTGATAGTGACATCTTTTATATCTGGTTGAGGTTTTTTGAACTCTCAAGCATTTCCAGCATAGGCTGACCTCAGGAAAGCTTTCCTACTTGGCTACTACTTCCCTAATGTGATTCTTTAGCTGCAGGCACTTCTTAATTGGTTTGGTTTTGTAAGTGAATTGCCTTGCAAAGTTAGAGGACCAGTGCTACAAAATTAATCTGTTTAAATCCAAATGGCACATATTCAGATTATGAATGACTACAAGTCTCCTGGAAGTCCGGTGAATATCTGTGCAGAAAGGAGTTCTGACTGGGATTTCATTAGCTGTGTGTATATCTGCCCATACTATATTGTATCAAGTGTCTTCATACTCTATTACCATTTCATGTTTCACAGCTACTCAAGGTGAACCGAACCTCTTACAACCACAATTTTTTCAATCCCTTCACAGTCATTAATTTTTACTACATTTCTAAAAACTAGTGTAATCCAGACCATAGCCGAAATGTAACAAAATTAACCTAGACATGCAAAGGTATTAAAGCCTCCAGAATCTACTGTTTATATGTTACTGACACACCAAAACAGCAGGACAGCTTTTAACTGCTTTTAAGCATTTTTCTCAGAATGGCTTAGATGAACACGTGTAAATTACCTACAGTATTTCTAATAGCTAATGAGCTATTGAGAACAGTAGCCCATTCTTAGCTAGATTCCTTATTGAATTTGGCAAAGAATGACTCCAAACACACAACTGCAAATGCCTGAACTGAATAATATCTACATAAAATGTAGCATTTTAGGACTTTCCAAGGTTTTATTTGTCCTCTCTTTAGGTGTAAATCTCTGAAGCGGGGACTTAAATCCCAGTATCCCAGAATGTATCAGGTTACATGCCGTTCTTACATAGGTCTTTCTCTGTTTCTATTCCTCTTAAAATAAATGAAAATAACAGTAACTGTGATATTAACTTAGGTTGTCTCTCACACTCCAAGAAAATTCAGAAGTAAAATGTACTTATCGTATGTACTTGAACACTGAAAACTAGCAGTGTCATCAATGCATTACATCACTAATGAATATCTGTAGTAAAGACCAGAGGTGACCCCCAACATAAATCAGCATCCAAAAATCAACATCAAAAATGTTTGTTATAAAAGTAGAATTGTAGTTTACAAATGCCAAGTCAAATCAGATGCAAATGAAACACTTTTTGAAAGCATCAGTGGTGTACTTCACTTACATAGAACTTAATCATGAGAAATAATAATAATAATAATAATATATATATTGGGATCATAAAAGACATCATGACAGTGATAATTTTAACCTGTATTTGTTGAATGATTGATTCAGTTGTTCCTCAGCAGAAAGGCTTCCTTCTTGGTTGCTCATCTGACAGGTTTCATGAAGCTCCATCCCTGCAACAGTTCTCAGTTTTGTTTGCTCTGGTAACACTGGGAAATTCATGTAGTCTGGATAATAATAAAAAAAAAATTCTCTGCTGCATTATTCAGAATAACATCTACAGTTTGATGTAATTCTGTCTGTGATGTTGCGCTTGGATAAGTGGCTGTTTTAGGTAAACTTTTGACTTTTTGTATATAAGGTTATTTCCCTATTCATATTTACAATAGACTTGAGATGTACAGGTCAGACAATTTATAGGTATTTTGGAAAAAACCTGCAATTCTTACTCAATATAAAATTCTGCCTGGCCAATGAAGAACTGACTTCCTACTGAATCATATGGGCAAGTAGTAACCAAATGTTTCATCCATGAAATCATTAGGAGCTTTGCTTTATACTATAATGAAAACTGTAAGTAGAAGAATGAAGTCACTAGTGCCTTGAGGCATAAATGCAGCTATAACACCCCTTAAATTACTGTAGGTGTAATTCTTTGAAATAATGAGATGAAAGAGTTCACAGTGGTGTTAAAACAGTTACATGCAAGCAACAGTACATCCTTCACTGGACACATTTCACTAGCACAGTTCACAGTTTTTGCAGTGAGCTACATCAGCCCAGAGACTGAGTGACCTCTTGGAATCCTGCCACGTTTCCAGCACCTGTCAAATGGTTCTTTCTGTAGGGCATGCAGACAATGGAAACACATTAAAATAACCATATCTGCCAACAGAGGCAGGTCCAGAGAACAAAAATTGGCCCCCACTGTACATGCAGCTGATCAATAACGAGGATTGATTCTATTCTGTGTGCTCAGTCAGCCTGCCATAAAGAGTGTCTTTAACAAGTACAGTGGACAGGATGGCATAACTGCTCGATTAGCTGGGGTGTTGATGCCACATAGCACAGCCATAGCAATTTCTCATCATGCATCTAGACTTCATGCCTTCCATTTGAGTCCTTTGTCCTATCAGTCAGCTATTACAGGGTAGAGAGGAAAATTTTTTTAATGGAAACAATGAACAATGCTCTTTTTCATCATATCTTTCTGTGTACCTTGTAACACAGTTTATCAAAATCAATCTATAAAAATCCACAATGCCAGACACATAATGCATTTTAATTGAATCTGCAACATATGCATGCATGAATTTATACAGATTTGCATGAATTAATGTGAATATATAGCATGTGGTTTTTTTGCCTACTATCCAGGAGATTATTATTAGCAATAACAGATTCTAAAACTAGCTTTGCACATTTGATAAATGCCACTGGGGGAGGGGAAGGAGGAAAGAGTGTAACAGTGGCTGAGTTAAGGCAGCCTAAGGCATTTTTCTGCCTACACAAGGCACAGACAGACAGAATGGATTGGGGACACTGCTCCAACAGTATCTTTTACTCTTTTGGAAATGTGCGGCATTGGCTTTCTCCTTTTTTCTCTGCATCTACTATGATGTTGTCAGGGAGACAGAGTCCTTGACTTACACCCAACTGCTGAGGCCATCACCCTTTATAACTATACCCCAAACCTTGTACCCACTGGAAGATCTAAATCTGTTCTGTGACAGGCCCCTGCACGATATGTTTAGGTGGTATAGAATAAAAATCTCCTTCTCTGTCTCTTCAGTTAACTCAGAGGAAGCCCAAACTTCATTTCATAACGTGTATTACAAAAGAGCTGGCTTTATAATGTATTTATAACCCATTGTATTTATATTTGTATGCTTTTTTAAAAAAATTATGGCATAAAGAGGCCCTGGGTAGCCTTTTCATAACATGGTTGTCTGTGAAGTATATTTTATATTTATTAAAATCCCCAACATTTGTAAATCTCCTTTGATTTTCTTGTAACTGACATAAAACCTTACCGTAAATTGATCTCAAAAAGATACATTAAATGGGCATCTTTCATAATTGAATTAGGGTAATATATCTGTTGCCTTCTCAAGTAATTAGATCTCTAATTGTCAATTTTAAAAGTAATCAGGTTCTCAAGAGAGAACACAATCTACAGCTATTTTAAAGGTCAGAATAGTTTTAGATTTCAATTTTATATATTTATTAAAATTCTTACAGTACTCAGACTTACTTTTTTATTTATAAATAGTTGTAATATTAAGGTGTTTAAACCTCATTCTGAATTGATGGGTAAAAGATATGACTATTTTAATTAAATTCTAAAAGGACATTCTGTATATAACCTTTGAGCACAACCCTGAAGTCATTGTTGAGAAAAACTCTAGCTGACTTGATAGACTGAAATTTAGAATATAACAGACATAAAAAATAAAAATAGGTCAGTAAGATATAATTGTAAACACTCTGCACATATTTTTTCACATTATCTTTTCTAATATCTGGGAAAACATTGTTCCGCAAATAAGTACGAATAGTGCCTGATTTCTAAATAACATTTTGGTTAAATTCAATGGCATTGTTGACATTTATTAATAATATCTTTTTTCATGCAGCTGCTTACAGATAGATATAGTAAATAATGTGACTTACAAGAAAAATGTGAAATGAGTCACTTACTTGGGCACTATACCTACAGAACTTCTCAATCTATTTTTAAATATTTTAGAAAAGGAAAGGGAACTAAATGATCAGTTACATTTCTGAGCTAAGTGTTATCAGTAATACTTAGAAATCCTATCCTGACTTTTATTTATTAGTAGCAGCAATTTGAATATGCAGCATTTTGTTAGCAGTTTAAATATTCAAAGTATAACAATAAAAGATATTTAATATTTTTTTCTTAATAGCAAAGAACTATCAAGACAGCAAATACTCTCTCCGATTTAGTGCAAGAGAGAAAGTAAACACTAATTATAGCAAATAACTATTAGTGTCAAAGGATTCCAAGACATTGCCAATATACACTTAAGCATTTCAGAGCAGACAGTGACCTTACCTTCATAGCCAAGGAGAAAGCATGTCAGCAAGTTAGGACTGACCTCCTCCAAAATGGAACAAAAGGCAGAGAAAGCACCTGGGCCTTTTAGAGAGAGTTTATCTAAAAAATATTCAGTTCTCTTCCTGTAGCTCTCCTGGGACCAAATGTCTTTGCATTCCTCCAAGGAAAAGACTCTCTTGTAAACCAAATATGACAGCACTTTTTTCACATCCAGCTCTTCCAGTATTTTCTCTCTCTGATTGCTTGGGATTTCAGAAAGCCACTTACTCCTGTTTTCATTTTCTCTTTTGGTAGATTTCGCACAGTTATAAAACCAAGATTTGGCTGTTCTTCCAAACATTTTGATACTTAAAGAGAAAACAGAGAATTCTACTTCTGCATTTATCGTGCCGTATTCAGTATGCAAAATAAACATAATGTGGATGGCTAGAATGCAAATACATACTGATGTCTGTAATTATTGTAATTCCAGTGGAATAAAGAAGGCCTACATACAAATTATAAAGAAATCTAGCTCAATGCCTGCAGCCTCCTAAGAGGATTACATTACACTAATTAGCCCTTTACAACTGTTAACAGCTTCTGAACCGTAATGATGAGACTGAGAATTGCTTAGTTACTGTTACTTTTTAATTCTGTAACTGATCTTCAAAGATATGCCTTTGCAAAAAATAATTCATTCTAGAAGACAGCTGGCAAACTGAAATCAAACTGAAATAATCTGTACAAGCTGGTACAGGACATAACCTAAAGCTTCTTTTGTACACTTTAATTTTATATTCCTCAGAGGCCATACCCAAACCACAGTACAAATGCCCTCCACTTCTCATTCTTTCATAAAATATTAGCTTTAATATGCAATGGAATTACACATTCAGAAAGCAAGTTTCTATAAATACTTAGTAAACCTTTATGCAAAAGGTAAAAAAAAAAAGGTTTCAGAATAAGACCCTTTTTTGTGAAGATAAATACATAACTGTTAAGAATAACATTTCTGCATGTTTAGATCTTTATGTTGTTTCCAAGCAAAGTAAACCATGTAGTGTCCATTCCACAAGCCAGGTTGACAGTGAAGATTACTGCAATCCCAGTGGAGGTGTTCTGCCACTGATAATCATTCATTGGGGATCACACATTACATAACCTCCCTTATGCAAATGCTCCTTAATACCTGGACTTCTCGGTCTTGTTTTTATACTTTCTGTCAACATAAATTCCCTATGTAGAAAAGGTATGAGTGCTTCCTGCCTCCTCCTGCTGTTTCTTGAACTATTTTTTCTAGTTCCATTACTTCCAACATCATGATAGTGCATCCATGGCCTTACCCTTGTGGCCTTACCTGCACTTTTCTTAAGAGTGGTTTATTGGTTGTGCAGCAAACAAAACCATTTTGCCAAGCTCTTCGGCAAAAAAGTTTTATGATATTTTTTGTCCTGATGATCTGAAGATGCGACCACTGTATCCTCCTGTCAGGCTTCTTCTACTTCTGAAATTTCAATTATTCATCAGTCAGCATTAAAGTTGACCACTGTCCATGTAAGAATTCAGGAATTTTTTAAAATTAATAATATGACCATCCAAACAATTAACTAGCCAGGCTTCACAGAATTGTTTAGCAGCATTGCCTGTCACCCTGTGGTTGTTTGCAGATACAGCAAGCCTCATATGTTACACATCATCTGGAGTAAGGAAGAGTGGAATTATGTGTTATTTGAAGCTGTATTAATGGTCCTAGTTTAGGGTGTTATGGCTTATTAACCATAGCAGTGAGATTCTCATACTTCTGTAATCATCTTGCATCTACTCAGGTAGAGCTACCATGCATTCCATGGCATCACACACCACACCAAAGATGACCCGCGGGGGGAAGGGAGGTGGTAAAAGGCACATTCTATCCCAACCATGAGCCAGGTAGTACAGCTAAACAAGGGTCATTGCAGTAGGCAACTTATCTGGCACATCTTCTATGCAGCCTTTGAAAGTAAGGGCTCCCTTATATACTGGCTCTTAAAATTCCCTCTAGTTTTTCAACCTTCATAGAGGTAGTACAATTTTTTTTCTCTTCAAATTGTTTCTCTCTCAGAAGTTCTACTACTACTAATACAACAATATCTCAGGAGGTAAAAGATCCTGATAAAGCCTGGCACTCCACATATGCTAGACAGCATCCTATGACTCAGCCTTCTCAGCCTCTACAACTTCTGATGGCAAGTTTTTCTATTACTTCACTAAAAGCTAGAGCAAGCGCAAAGTTACAGGTTTTGGGTTCATAAGGCAGTGCCCAAAGATGAAATAAAGGCGGATGTAACCTGCATACATTTTTCAGAGTTTAATTTTTAAAAAAACAAATCTGTGTTTATTTTATTGTGCTGATAACACTGGTTGTAATCAATATCCTAAACAGAATAATAAATTCTACACAGTAGTGAATTTGGAAGTTAAAAAAAGCAGGTAACCTGCCAAATTAACAATGAAATTTATTTTTAACAGAAGCTATAGGTTATGTCTTATTTTTACATATGTCCATAATGGTTCTGACCATGACAGTCTATCCTTGAAGATGCATGACCTTGTTATAGTCAATGATGGACAAAAGTGTCAGCAAGTTGCATCACTTCAGAAAAGGAAGGAAGAATTGGTGCAAATGAAAAATGTATATAGGTATCAATTTGCTGAGGTACATTCTCAATATACCTTAAAAAATAAAACTAATTTAAAACCATCATTAAAAGGTTTAGCTGGGGTAGAATGACAAGCAGGATTAACTACAGAGCCATTAGACAATTCTGGGGATTCATGGGAGAAAAACCAGTACTCTGCATTGAAAATGCAAAGAAAGGTTAGTATAATACGAACTGGTTAATATAGGCTGAGAACAGTACTACACACAGCAGTTATCCAGGGTAATGACAGTTTGAAATTTGTGAGTATATAGTATATAGGAGTGTCTTTGGACTTATGCACTGAATAACTTACTTTTTTTTCCTAAAGGACTACAATGTTTTGAGTCAGAAATGTCCCCATTAGTTTTGTTGGTAAAAGAATATATCCCTTTAATCTCAAATATCTTCTTAAGAAGTTTTAAAATCATATAGAATGCGTGGTATCATAGGAAATGCAGCAAAGTGTGGATAATAACAAAATTTGCCTCTCTTCCTTCTCACATACTGTGTAGTTATTTCCAGTAATGTACACAGGAGAATAAAATGCTAAAATTCTGATATGGTAAATGTCAGAGTTCTAATAAAAATCCACAGCTTTCAAAATCTGATTACTAGCTAAAGGCAAAAAATTTGAAAGTGTGTTGAGAAACTGAATACAGAGAAATGGGTGTAAAGTACAATCAAAGGAGGAAACCATAGAAATTGAAGATGCCAAAGAAGTAATTGAGACAAAATGATACATAGAAATGCATGGTGGAAATAAAGGATTTGTGATGGAGAACTACTTTTTTCTCAGGGTCAGGGAACTGGTATTTAACTGAAATGACCTGTAAATGATTCAGTGCAGACTGTTGGACTATGCAATAGAAGTTGTACAATCCTCCCAAGCTCTGAGTCCTAATGCCTGGCAACTCAAACCTCTTCAAATTATTTACCTGAGTGCCTAGTTCTGCAATTTGTACAAAGATGCTGGTTAGTTTTGGTCAGCCTAATTTCATAAGAAATGGTGTTAACCAGGAAGCATCCACTACAAGTAAGATGTGGCAGTGTTTATTTGACATTGAGGTCAAATAAGGATGCAATCTGATCAACACTTTTTGACATTGACATTGTTTCATAATGAGAATAGTGAAGGGGGGTGCAGCACGTGTTTTTTCCCCTCCCTATTACAAACCACTTGTGCCTGCCATGTGCTCCGCAAAATGGCATGATGAGGATTTTGAGAATTAGTGATGTGATTCTTCACTGCAGCCTCAGAATATTCAGCTTCTTGTTTATGAGAGTTACAGAAAAAAGTTTTTCAAAGAGCATTTTTAGATAAACTGAAGTGGGACTTCAACATGAGCTGTCCAGAGAAGGGCAATGCAGCTGGTGAAGGGTCTGGGGCACAACTCTGATGAGGAGCGGCTGAAGGAGCTGGGGGGCTCAGCCTGGAGAAACGGAGGCTCAGGGGAACTTTACTGCTTTCATCAACTCCCTGACAGGAGAGTGGAGCCAGGTGGGGGTCGGGCTCTGCTCCCAGGGAACGTGGGACAGAACAAGACGACAGTCTTAAGCTGTGCTAGGGGAGGTTTAGGTTGGACGTTAGGAAGAATTTCTTCTCAGGAAGGGTGATCAGACATTGGAATGGGCTGCCCGGGGAGGTGGTGGAGTCATCGTCCCTGGAAGATGTTTAAAGAAACACTGGACATGGCACTGAGTGCCAAGACCTGGTTGACAAGGTGGTGTTCGGTCATAGGTTGGACTCGATGATCTCAAAGGTCTTTTCCAACCTAACTGATTTCGTAGATATCGACATTTTCCAATTGCTCACCGGCCTCGGAGCCAGGCGAGTGGGTGCGTTTATTAATTAACGCCACAGCAGCGAGAGCTACAAAGAAGTATTCACTCAATTAGAAGAACTAGTGATGACAACAGCTTCACCCCCGCACGGCTCCGGGCCCAGGCGGGTCACGGCGGCGGGCGGAGCGGTAGGGCCGGGCCCGGGGCCAGAGAGGCCCGGGGCGCAAGTGGCGATCGCCGAGGCGGCATCGCTGCGGGTGTCGCGGGAGCTGCGCTGGCTGGCGGCCGAAGTCGAGTGGCGTAAAGAGCCGCAGGAGCCGCGCTGCCCCGGCAGCGCCATCCCCGAGCGGCAGCGGCTGCGGGCCGAGAACGACAGGCTGCGCTACCGCCTCCTGCTCCTGCGCCCCGGCTCGGCGGCCGAGCGGGCCCGGGCGGCGCCGGTGCAGGCCGGGGCCGCTCGGAGGGGGGGGCGAGCAGTGGACTACGGGCTGGCCGGGCCTCTGCGGGGAGAGACGGGACAGGGACACTCACGGCGCCGAACCGCCCGTCCCCAGCCCGCGGGGGTCGCGGTGCTCCGCGGGTGGGAGCCGGCCGCGGTGTCTGCCCGCAGCACTGAGCAGTGGACCTGCCTTTGCGCGTGCATCGTAGAATCAGAGAATGGCTTGAGTTGAGAAAGACCCTAAAGATCAGTCCTGTTGTTCCAACTCCCTGCCCTGGGCAGCAACACCTTCCACCAGACCAGGTTGCTCAGAGCCCCATCTGACCCGGCCTTGAACGCAGCCAGGGATGTGGCATCCACAGTTTCTCTGGGTGAACCTGTGCCAGGTATGACACCACTGAAAGTTGTCACTGTTCAGTGTGCCAGTGTGATCTCCCACGGTTTCGCTGGGGAGATTTTGCCGGTGATAGTTGTAGTAGTGCCACGGAGCAGTTTTGCTGTGTCTGCAGAACATCAAAAAGATGCAGTTTAGATGGGTCATAAGTGCTAAGGACATAACTTATTCCCCTGTAATTACCTTTTTAGCCCAATATTGTACTGGTCTGGTTTGTTTCAACGATTGCTGGGAAAAATCTTAAAGGCATAGTAGGGGTATACTTTGTATTATCACTGCTTTCAGAAAGTCTCCAGTGCAAGTCCAATTGATGCAGTGAATCAAAATAAAAGAGGAAAAGAAAAAAGAAGGTAAATCTGTGAACCAACATCAGAATGATGTAAATGGTTATTTTAGGGTACATAATAATAGAAGAAGTGGTGTTTGATCAGGTTCAGAAATACTTTGTGTATTTTGAAATCCCAGCTTTTGGGGAAAAGGTTTGCTATAGCAGAGAGAAAAAAATATTATTTAAGAGCTTCACCTTGTGTTAGTAGGGTTACTTACACATTCTTAGATCTCTACTTTTTATGTAAGAAAAGGATTGGGGTTATTTGGAAATAAAGGTCATAATTCTGTGGTGCCTAAAGAGAGTGAAGGTTCATGAGCAGTTAAACAGCGTGATGGCTGAAAGGATGTTGGCAGCACTAGCTGTATTACAATAGAGCTTAATAACTAGAGTAACCTTCACGTGAACTATCTTGTTTGAATCTGATGTTTTGAATGGACTGGCAGAAATGAGGGCTCACTGGAGTGATCCAGATTTCTCTAGGACATCTGCCAAATGCAAATTCTGGGGCAGGAATATAGGCTGCTTTCTGAGGTCAAACTTGCAAAGCCATTTAGGCCCAGATTGATGAAAGTGCATGGCAAATTGGAAAGCTACTATAAAGTAGTCAGAAGGTTGGATGGGACTATCCTTTGTGTAATTATGTAAAAATGGTTTACTGCCTTTTGGTATAAATTCTAGTACAGTGAAATCTGGTCAAAGTTGGGACCTCTGGGGATGCACCAACGGTGTGAATCCTTTTATTCTATTTCTCTCACAAATATGTATGTGCATAATCTAATTTATTTGTTACAGCTACAGTGTGCGCCAACCTTCACAGAAGACACACTGAAGCTTTATGAAGCACTGAAAAAAGAACATGAGGCTTTGCTAGGTTACAGAGAAGCCAACCAGAGCAAATCTATCAAAATTACTCTGACAGATGGGAAAATGGCTGAAGGGGAATCTTGTGGGGAAAAACACACCATTTCAGTTAGCTGTAGGACTTTGGTAACCTGCAGATTCAAGGAGTTGTACTTTTGCAGAGATAAAACTGTTACTATCATTTGTCTCTTACTTTGTTGTGTAACATATATGTCATGGTCAGTGGATGATGACTCTTACATTGGTTCATTTGGAAAGCATTGAACCTTCAGCTTAATGCATAATAAACAGCTGGTTGAGGTGATGCTTGAGGTTCTGTGCTAGGATCATAATGCTTGCTTCCAATTAAAAAGTAAATCAGTCAGACTGCTAGGAATTAATAGAGACATTGGAAGTTTTGTGAGTTACCAGATACAGTAGAACTTATTGTAAGAAACAGTCTTTCCTCCAGATCCCCGGCACTGAAAACCATTAAATGAAACTTCTCAAGACCTTAAGGTTCTTTACCTTTAAAGTGGAAAAGTGTTTAAGACCACCACAGAAACAAAAATTTAAGGTATTCAGGTGCTACGAGATGTGGCTGTGGTCTCATGGGGTTTAGAAACCTAAGGTCTTTTACAAGTCTGAACCTAAATATTCAGGTCTCTTGTCATCTGTTCTGGTTTTTTAGTCAAGTGTTGGCTTCAAATGCTGTCATAGCCAAAGCGGATGGTGAACTGTGGGACCTGTATTGTCCACTGGAGGGAGATTGTACTCTGAAGCTGCTGACCTTTGATAATGAAGAAGCAAAAGCTGTGAGTAAACACTCTCTGGTTTCTGCTTGATTAGAAGAACTAATGACATAAAATTGATTGCAGCATTAGGTTTTAAAATCTTGACATAAAAAAAAACCCACACAAAACTATTCAAGTAATGTATTTCCCATGATTCAGCAAAGAAGGTGAGATACTAAGTGCCTATTATCTGAGAGTAAATAAAATCTTAGGGTTCTTTTCATCTTTCTCTTTTACATAAACAGGTTATTTCTCAAATGAGATCATACAGAACACCTTGATTTGTATGCTAACTTGAAATAGTTTGATGTCTTCTAAGATATGTTCTGTGGTTTGACAGTGCATTTGAAGATCAGACAGTGAAAGCAAAGTAAGGCTGTCTTGCTGTTTTCTAAAAATTGTCCAACATTAGATTTGAATCATAAATAAAGTCTACACCTCCTTTTACTGGCACTGTTTATTAGAACCTTAAGCAGTCATATCTTAGTCAATTAAACTATGAATATACTTAGCAACACACCCAAGATTTTTTATTTTTTAATGAGATTCAGTCTGAAGCTTATGTTTATGTATTAGAATTAGACTTCAATTTTGTCAAAGAATTATTCATGTGATTAAGCTTGTTTGAGGTATTTCAGAAGCCTGTAAAGGCTTTATCTTGTAGCGGTGGCTCTGAATTAGTCCAAATTAACAGGAACTTAGAACATGAGACTGGTATTGATCTACTGGGTTGCTGGCTCCCCTCTGCTGACATTTCAGGTAATGTACTTTACAGACCTATTAATAAAGGTACTGAATGTGAACAGTGGAAACTTAATTGGCTACATTGTTTTAGATCTGATTAGTGTTGCATAGACTTTTGACTGACTGGAAACTAACTTATAAATTAACAAAGTACAGTAAGTACTAAGTTGATGGAATAGCGCACAGGTATAATCATCACCTTTCAGACTACAGTATGGTGGGCTTTTAGTGCTACATCTGCCATTGTATTAATCATTTAGAGTACTTCAAAGTGAGAACAGAAAATTGTTTTACTTCTCTTAAAATTTAAAAAACATTGGTTCCAGTCTACTTCCCATCTGCAGATATACTTATGGTTTGATTTTTTTCCTTTTTAGTTACACAATGCCACTGACCCCATGGCTTGCTCACAACAACACATTTTACAGTTTCCAATTAGACCACTAGAAAGTGGTTATTTCAAAAAATGGAAATATCAAAATAATTAATTTATATTTCTTTTGCCTGCGTCTTTTTGTTTAGAGGTGTATCTAGTACTGAACTCCCACTACTAGAGAACTGCTGTAAAAATATCATAAAAGAGAAACAGGCTTTTGAAAGGCTGGAAGTCAACAAGGAGACCCTGTTAGACATGTTTAAGGTAAATCTTTTGAGTAGCTGTGGTTGTGGTACAATGATCTTTTAAAATGTAACTTTTATAAAATGCTGCATGTGACTGAGTCATCAGAACTGTACCTGTCTAGTAAAACAAAGAAAAAGAATACCATCCCTTTCCCCCTCTGTTTCCTCTCAAGTGTTCAGAATGTTTTCAGGCACTAATAAAAACAATTTTGTATTACACAAAAATACCTCAGGCTCAATGAGATGAATAAGTACACAAAAGGCACTCATTCCTTCTGGCTCACTTGCAGAGACAGGTCAAAAAAGACTTTTGCTATAGCCCCCTGTTTTATACAGTGAATATTGCCAGTCTCACTATGCTGTGTAATTGCCTTTTGCAATGCTTTGAGGTGTTCAGGTGGTAATCACCATCCTCAACACACCCTCAGGGGATTTAAGATGTTTTTGTCTCTTTCCTCTCTTGTTTTGCAACTCTTCTGAAGGATGTTGAACTGCTGAGTACAAACTTTTAACTTAGTTGTGTCTTTTACTGATGCTCTTGCATTATTAATACATAATTTAAAAAGAGAATTTTGTTAGCCATTTTATCAATGTTTCTGACTTTTCATGTTTCCACACACAGTATAACAACTTTTAACTGTCATATCCCTAATGAGAAGGTGAAGACACCAACTACCACAATATACAGGTAAAGAAATATGCTTCTAAGATATTTTATTTTTATAGTTAGTTTATTTAAATTGAGACAGGAATAAATTGGGTTTTTGTTTTAGGTTTTTTTTATTTTTATTCTAACTTCCAAATTCTTGTGTGGTTGGGACTTAGGTTTGCAATTAATATTGCTACTTTTGTAAAACGAGGTATTTTCTTTCTCTACTGGGACAGATTAGGTCTCAATTTGTGGACAAATGGCAAATCCAGTTTTTATTCATTCCCTCTCATTTCAGTAAACTGATTAAAATAAGTTACCACCCCAGACATTGGATTGGTGCATAGTGGGTAACACTAACTCTCAGCTTATTGGGGGGTGAGGAACCTGCTTATTTAGTTGCTCATTCCAATCAGTTGGTTGGAAAATAGCAAAACCATTTTTCTGTTTGATATGCATAGTTTGAAATTTCCTGGCCAGCTTTAACAAAGTTCACATATGGAACTATATGAGTTGGTGAGTGTGTTATGATGGTCTTGATAATAGATCAGCTGTGCTGAGCATTTACTGAGAGAATATTTCACTTCAGGTAGAAGGCACAGTTACATTTATGGAGCACTGAATGTGCTGCACATTGCATATTCATATTTAGTACCGTGTCAAGCACGGTGGAATGTGTCAAGCACGAACCTGTGCACCATTGCAGATCTGCCATTTTACCTGTGCACCATTAGTGACTGTATTGAGAAAATGGTGGACTATTTGGAAATGAACACTTTTTTTCTTTTGGCATATAGATGTGGTCCACTGATTAATCTCTGCAGGGTGAGACACATTGGAAAATTAAGGCCCTTAAAATAGTTAGGGTAAATTGAAATTAACTGTGCATTGAAATTGAAGTGAACAATGGTACAGTTGATTTATTTGTGTATTTATTTCTCCTGAGCTGATTATGCTAGGGTTCTTTGTATTGTCTTCTTTGTTTACTCTGAAAATAGTCCTTCATTTCTTTCTGAACTCCCATTTTACAAGTAGAACTGCAGACTTTAATCATTCATCTGCGTCCAAGGTTTACTGATTCTTGACTATCACAATAGTACATCAGTGAAAGTTAACAGCATCTTTTTCTGTCAGAGTATTAGTGTACTAACATGCATGTTTAGACTGATGAAGAGCACAGCAAGAACACTGTAGCTAGTAGTGACTAGATTAGCTATGGAACCAATTGTCCCATGCCCAGTAGAGAAGTGCAGTGCCTAAGCCCATGTGGCAGTGCTGTTCCAGGACCTCTGACCAGCACTGCACCTCATAGTACGAGTGTCCTGGTTTGAGACTGTACTCGCTGTCACATCTGCGTGTGTGTGCGTGGGGGTGCACGCTCTGTTCTGCAGCAAATGAACATCCAAGTGTTTATTGGGTCACAATATACTACTTTGACCTTGTCAGATGGTATCTTTCAGGTACAGGAGGTAAAATGGCAGATCTGCAAGTGCTGCTGTTAAAAGATGGTATTGCTGACAGGAAAGGCAGAGACAGGGTTTGCAGAGGCCTTTGTTTTTGTGGTATAGTTTAAGTTACTCACAGATGCCAATTTTGGTAACCATAATACCAATACCTCATTGGAATGTTCATCATAGTTGCTTTTGCTGGCTTCCTAACTGAAGTATGTGGAACTCTGAATTCCAGGGATTATGTGTTAGATTGTCAAAACAACTAAGAATTAACTGTGAGAGTTAGGTTTGTTGTGTCTTTCGTGTTTCTCTACTGCAGTATGTTTTGAATGTGCTTTGAACTGCTTTTCTAGCTGCTATAATATGAAGTAATAAAACATGCCATGATGTGAGTTGAAACAAGGTACCTAAGTAGAATAAAAATATTACTTGGCCAGTCACTTTTTTTGTTTGTCTTCTGTATTAGTATGCTGACTAAAAGGCACTGCAAGTATCTTTGTTATAAACAAATGCTCAAAGACTGCATATAAATCTCTTCCCAAGGAAAGAAATAATACTGTTTGAATGTGTTAATGCTTATCTCTCCTTTCCATGATATTATATAATATTATCTTAAAGTTTGGGGTTTGTGTATCAGAGTTCCTCTGATATGGAAACTCTGCAGTGAATATATAGAATATCCTTTCCTTATAACAAAATGATGAAGGAATGTGAAAAAATCTGGGAAGAAGCCAGGAACTGGGATCATAGGAAAACTGGAAAGGTACACTATTCCATTGTTTACTTATTTTATGCTTCTATAATAGAATTCATTCTCTTTCCTTGTTTTTTAGTTTTGGTTTGCTTGTTTTTTCCATTTTTGACAGTTTGAATGACAGCCAGTTCTGTATGCTTCTTGGTGTTGCTTATGTTTTGAAATTTTAGTTCTGCAAACTCAATGCTGGGCTCTCGCAAGTGAACAGCAGCCCTTTCCCCGCAGGAAAGAAAGCCCGGAGCCTCGAGCTCTCAGGTGCAGATGATGGGCCTCCCAGGGCACTCCGTGGGCAGCAAGACCTTTCTGTCCTGGCCCCTTCTGTCTGGGAGAAATCTTCTTCCGTATTCAATGTGGGGAGGTGGCCTGGCAATTTTGGAGCTGGGCTCCTGCCTGCAGACAACAGCCCTTTCCCCTATGAAAGAAAGCCTGGAGCCTCAGGCTCTCAGGTGCAGATGATGAGCCTTCCAGGGCACTCCACAGTGTGACAGACTGAAATGGCTTAAACACTCTCAAAATCATAGAAAGATTTCTTGTCAAACTGTAAGGAAGCAACTGCCTGTCTGCGACCACTGAAGCGCCCCCCTCCTAAATGACCTTCCTGACTGGAATTTGGACTGTGACAGGGACTTCAGGTAAGACTATTGTCTAATCATCTCAGGTCTGAGGAGAAGTAAACAAGGCTCATCGGGTGGTAGAAGAGAAGGGTTTTGGGGGTGTGATGGCAAAATCTTTCTATACCCAGCAGGACTAATCCCCTCCTCACTCCAGGAAGACCACATATACACGGGACATTCATGTAAGAGGCAGTTGAGCAGGGGTCATAAACCATTAAAGACCCGCAAAGAGCCCCTACGTCTCATTCCTGAGGTCTTCCTCCACTACAGAACTGCACGTGATGCAACAAATCCAGAGCCTGTTGCAAGAGACTGCAAAGCTTCCTCCCTCCCAGGGCAGGTGCCTAGGCATCTCCTGGACATGTATTAATCCACTGCACTCCATGTTTTGCTAGGCCCTCCCCACTAAGACCAGAAGAACAGGACTCCATGGGATGCCACAGAGTTCCATGGAGTGGTGATAAATTTTCTATTTTAATCTCTCTCTGTCACTCTCTTTCTTCCCCCCACTCCTTTTTCCTATTTCTTTCTATGTCTCTTTCTCTGCCTTTACTGTTAAATAAAATCCATACTGATGATTTTGGCATATGGTGTCATTTGCACCTTAATTCAGGCACAGGCATTTCTAATAATTTTTAATAGCCAGATCATAACACAAGGGCAGCAAGACCTTTCTCTCCTGGCCCCTTTTCGTCCGTATTCAATTTTGGGAGGCAGACTGGCAATTTTGGAGCTGGGTACCTGCCAGCAAACAACAGCCCTTTCCCCCAGGAAAGAAAGCATGGAGCCTGAGGCTCTCAGGTGCAGATCATGGGTCTCAAAGGGCACTCTGTGGGCAGCAAGACCTTTCTGTCCTGGCAGATTTTGTCCCAGACAAATTTTCTCACAGACAAATCCAGTTACTTGCAGACAAAAGGTGTTTCAGGAAGTGCCCTGAAATGGAGGGGAACCTCCCAATTCAAACCCTTAAAATGATAAAAAATTAGGAGTTTTCTTCAATTTAAACCTTAAAATTAGGAGAAAGGGGGGGGGTGTTACATCAAATTAAAGCAATAAAATGGCAAATAAGTGGGTTCTCCCCTCAATTTAAACCCCTAAAATATTGGAGTAAGAGGGCTTTCCCTCATTTTAATTACCTCAAATGATTGAAAAAGGGGGATTTCCCCTCAGTTTCAAGTTTTCTGTATAAGGGACAACAGGGATTCACCCTCAGTTTAAACCTTACAGTGATGAAAAGGGGCGGTTTGCCCTCAATTTCAAACCCATAAAATGGCATTGTAAAGGTTTTACCCTTCCATTGCAACCAGAAAATAATGGAAAATGGGGATTCCCTGTCAATTGATACCCATAAAATCATGAAAAAGGTTGGGTTTCCTTCAATTGATACTCTTAAAGTTGCGGGGACCCACTGCGGGGTCACCGAGGTGGGTCTTTCACAGCCTAAAATGGACATTGCATCACGGGCCAAGGCATTCCCAGCAGGACTGAACACTCCTGGCCAAGGTGACCAGTCCAAGGAATTTGGACCGGTGACAGTCTGGGGGGCATTTTAAGTTGGCTACTTGCGGATTTTGTTGTCCAGAAACTCCAATTCTTTTTGGCACCTCTTGTTGAAATGTTTCCCTGCTGGGGAAGAGGTCAATTAGTCTTTTTAATGGCCCAATTGCCAGAGGTAGGGGAAAAACTCTCAGCATTCCCTACACCCCCGTCACTCCCACATCCACCTGTGGCCAGGGGGCGATGGGAAGGAGCCTGCTCTGGATGGGCTTGAGGGATGGTGCTAAGCCCACTATTGCCAAAGTGAAGGATTCTGGCATTGTCCCTTGGCCAAGATCTATCAGCAAAAGGCAGAAAAAAGGGCAAAGGCTTGAGGAAACTCTGCTGCCATCTAATGAATACTTCTCTCCAGTTTCCTGGCCTTGCAGCTGGTAAGGCCTGACAATCCCTCACAGGGAGAACTCAGTACACGGCCAGAGAGGCAATGCCAATATCTTAAAGAAAGTTGAAAAAAGGAAAAGCTGATGTCTTTTGTTTTGCCGGTTCCAGCAGTGAGCTTCCTGCCATGCTTCCCTCCCATACTTAGGGATTTGTCAGGAGCAGCAGTTGTGGGGGACTTTTACTTAAAAATAAAACCAAAACAAACAAAGAGAAAACGAAAATTAAAAATAATTAAAAAAAGAAAAATAAATTAAAAAATAAAAGAAAATAAAAAATAATTTAAAGAAAAGAAAGAAAATTTTAAAAAATTAAACCCAAGAAAACTAAAAAGGAAATAAAATTAATATTGAAATAAAAGAGGAAAAACCTTTTTTGGGGACCCCCTTTACTCTCTCCCCATGCCCACCAAACCCAAAATTGGGGGTCACTCCTAAAATGGGAGTGGGTGGGGGAACCCAAAAATTGGAGGGGGGACCCCAAAAATGGGGGGAATACCCCTAAGGCCTGAAAAATTGGAGAAGCCCTAAAAATAGGTGGGGACAACAAAAGTGGATGAGGACCCCCAGAAAAAGGAGGCGGGAGCCCCAGAAGTGGGAGAGGGGACAACAAAACATGGGTAGGTGTCATACGTTTGAAAAGAGATTTTGGAATTTTTTCCCAATACTCGCCATCCCCCTCCCCACCCCCCCCAACCCCTCCGCGATCCGTTTCTTCCGGGATGGGGGGGACGGAGTGAAGCCGAAAGCGCTGGGCAGCGTCGGGGGGGGAGGGGGGGAGCTCTCTCGGGAAATAGGGTTGCCGTGGGGATAGCTGGCGAGTTTTTTTGTTCGGGGGCTTTTGGGTTTGATCTGCAGACCACACAGAGAGCGGGGAGCCCGGTTTCGGCCACATGCTTTTCTTTTCCTGACAGGAAGTTTTTTTCCCCA